TTACCTTCAAATCAGAATCTGTCTAACTGCTAAGTGAATTGTTTTTGAATTAAACTATAGGGTATAATAAAACTAAACCTTCTGCATTCCAATCAAAATTAAAGCCCTCCATGCTCAAGAATATTACTACTTTTGATCTCAGCTGTAAAGAGTAGTTTCCCCTAATATAACAGGTAAAATCGGGGTCTCCTGCATAGGACAACTGATCTGAAAAGTAATAATCGGCACCCATTACAGTGTTTAGCACCGAATTGATATTAACATCAATTGCAGTGCATACTGATCTCTCTTTATTAAATGGATGCCGATATGCAAATTCTGGAACCTGGAGTTTTGTTCCTAATCAAAGATGTGTTCATTCACCTCAAAGAATCCTTTCCAAATTCTCACATCTTTTAGAGATCTTCTAACTGCCATAATCGCGGACTTTGATGTCGATGAATCTGGGGAATTTTTAATGGGAGGTGGAATGAGTGACAGTGCCTCCTCTTGACTCACGACTAAAGACAAAATATAAAAATTATTAACAATACAAAATATAAACAAATATTATGCTTAGCGTCATTACTTACGCTTAAAATTAATCGGTCTCCTTTTCTTGTGAATGAGCCAACATTATCATTTCTTCTTTGTTTTCCAACAACGAACGCAGATGATGTGCTTACTAAAACATCATTTATAACATCGGCCTTCATTAAAATATAAATTGTTAAAAATTAGAACTATTGTATATATTAAAAAATTTGATTAACAACTTAAAAACAAAATTTTGATAATAATGCCCCAAAAAGCTTGGTCAAAAGTCAACATACTATGCATATCAATGGATGCAGGTACGTACGCTATAAAAGGATAGATCGACTCTAAGGTTGGATCTAGCAAAAATAGATGCATTAGTTTTAGTCAGTGTTAATGTTTATAGTAAAGCCAAAATTAAAAGAATGTAAAAATTCACTTTTGTAACTTCCGTGAAGTTCATGCCGATTGTTTTAGATCACAACAGAAGTTTTCAATATCCTTAACGACATTTTCAATGTCAGTTAGTATAATTTTAACTGAGCAACAAGGGAGACATATTTCGCTTCTTCTGAATATCCATCAGACTTCGAAACCACAAAAACACCAAATGGCATTAGAGGATACCTAAAATATACGTAACAACAATTAATTATACATATTGTTTTTATACATAAGCACAGTACCGGACAGCAAAATATATAAAAATGATAAATCAGAAACAAATAATTTTAAAAAACATCTGTCTTACAGATTTGTTGCTTTCATCAATAATTTATATTGCATAAAGTAACAATGTAAAAACTATAAAAGCGGTGCTTATCCGCCTTGAAAATACTTGGAGTTCAAAGTCTTCGAAGTATTAAGTAGAAGTATTGTCTCGAACACGTTTTACCCTTTGATTCGAAAATCGTTTGTCGTCTCATTATTTTCTTGCCCCTGTGACTATCGAATATCGCATTGTCATATTTATAAAAATAGAGAAATTGTATTAGTAATACAATCCCTTAAATTGATCTTTGATTAAGTTTGTAACTTTTATAGGTTGATCAATCAATCAGATCATGAAATTTTGTTTACACAGATCAACCTGATTAAGTAAAAAAAAAAAAGTAAAAAATATGAAAAAGGGTAGTCCTAACCTGCCTTGTAACGTTATTTCTCAACTTCCCGAAATCCAGTTCACCGAAACACTATTTTACCGAAGCTGTAATACCGATAGTCTATTTTGCTAACATAACATAAACCCGATATCCTATTTTTCCGACATACGATTTAATTAATAACCAATTTTACTGAATTGCCATTTAGCAGCTAATCCCTATTTTCATAAGTCCACTTATTCGAAAA